CTTCACATTCACCTCGGATTTTGTCAAATAGATCGAATGTTGATTTCGGCAAATGAAGTGAGCGAGTTCTAAATCGAAATTGATCTGTTGTCATGTGATGATGCTGGAGGTGGAGCTTCTTCAACTCTTCGTGATTTGACAATCGCTTGTGGATTCTGCCTAGGGCAAGCGGAAGCGATGTTGGTTCTTCTGAGGATGGTGCGAAAGGATCTGGCTCAATGGTCGACCGGCCCTTCTCGTCGATGATCCTGTCTGCTGCCGATCCTGAACCTGCTTCTTCGTCCTTAAGCGAATTGTTCGCGAAGGTAAAAATGGTCTTACTTATCCACAGGTTAATCATCGGTTTATTTGCCTGGGATGTAAGTCTCCAATTGTCTTCTAGGATGTCTGGATCTCCACCTACGGATGCATCAATGATTTCCGTAGTACGGACTCGGCTAATGTTATCAGGATTTATTGGACACTCCTTGGCTCCATTTGGTGTGAACAGCGCCTTGCGGGGCGTGATGCGCACACGGATGAGCTGCTTGTTCTTCTTGTCAAGGATCCAATGGTCCTGCTTTTGAGACCCAATGATTTTAGGAGTTGCTAGGTCCTCCTTTGTCTCGGATGATTTTGCTGCACAAACAGTTTCACTCTTGGAGATCCCCGGAGGGAAACTTGATGCTGTTGTCATCATCATAGACATAGTTGGTGAGGCCTTTGTGAGCAATTTCTCCATGTGCCTTCACTCTTGCAACTCCAGCGAGGTCGACAAGTGCATGTCCTGTACCAGATACTGGAACTGCTTGACGGTTCACGCCAAAGGCCTTGCATGTGATCTTGTCACATTGAGGTGTGTGCTCGATGGTCATGTAGAGGTTCCGCATCTGACTGACGCTAAGAAGGATCGGTACAGTTCCTTGTTCAAGGACGTCGATGTTGGTACTGCATGGAGGAGTTGTGTGATATCGAAGATGCAGGGTCCAATTTACCCTGGCAAAAGTGAACTTGGTCTCGGCCGGGATGCACTGATAGGAGATGATGTCCTTCATTGGTTCGATGGCCTGAGTAAAACGCTGGGTTGCATGCCAGCTGCCCATAGATCTGGTACATCCATTGTCCAGAATCGCATAGGTCGGATTGTGCTGAGGGTTGATGACAGGCGCCATCAGCTTTGTTGCCAAAAGGCTGTGATGTGTTGCGACGGACAGATTGTGTTCTGAAACTGTATCTGATTGGATCGATGGCCTTTTTCTCATGATGCTCATATGCACCATGCCATTAGCGCTTGTCCTGTGCTGGATGTCTCATGGGATGAGTACCAGCCTTGTTCGTTCCATGTCCATGATTGATCCCAGTCTTGGTCTGGCCAACCGGCATAGGTAGGCTCTATGGATGGTGCAGTCTGCTGGATGGCGGGCTGCTCCTCCGTCTTTTCTGCCGTGGCTGCGAACGTCTTGGGTTTCCCTTTTTCATCTCCGCCCTTTCCTTTGCCATTCTCATAACATGGATAACCTTTGTTTCCATCATAGGGATATTGGAATTTTGATTTTCCTTTCTTTCCCTTCTTTCCTTTGCCTTTTCCCCAATATGCCTGGTCGTAGGGATCATAGTTTTCGTTGGCCATATTGGCCTTTCCGCCAGAACCGCTTTTTCTGAAGGGTTTAAAGCCACCTCGTTGGTGGCTGCCCTTTTTGTTTCCTGATTTTCCTTTTCCTTTGGTCTTCTTGACCCTGAAGTTCCGCCCCGACACTTTTCTTGCTATGAACGCATAGTTCTCCTCGAGGACCCAGAATGTCTCTTCATCGTTGTTTGACATGAATCCTTCAAGTCCTTCTTCATCCTCAACCCAAAAGCCTTCTTCTCCTTCATATTCACCTTGCTCGATGATGAAGAAGGTGTTGCTTCGGTTACCTCCTTGAGGTCGGATGGATGGATCTTGAATGGATGTCCGGGAGAGTTCCTGGTAATGAGTCTTCAGCATCTCATATGAGTAGTTTTCTAGTGAGATGTTTCTCAATGACATTGCACTTGTCAGTCTTTCTCTTTGCTGATCTGACAGTTCACTCTGAATGATGAAAAACTGTGCAATGAGATTATCCCCGAAGGGAAATGCGTCCCGCTGTCTGTCCTGCATTACCGTGATATATTGTCTGAGGACTACTGGATCATCCTCATTGAGCAGGGCTGGAGGCGGTGCTCGAACACCGGCTGCTTGCTGATGTCGAGCAATTGTTCTTGCATTTGCGTCCTGTACGGACTGTCTAAATGATGGGGACTGTGCCGTAAAAACTGGCATCAAGTCCATCCATGCTGCCTTCAACCTCGTGAGAAGGATTTCGAATCTTGAGGTAAAAATGAGGAACTCTTGGTTCTGCCTTCGATGATTGAAGAAACTGAGGAGCCTGCACAGATACACGTTGGTCGCACCTTTCGAAAAGTACTTCTTCAGCGTGTTTTTGAAGTAGTTGACTCCTTCGTCAGGATCTTGCAGAAGGTCATTTTGGAGGACTGCCTTGTACATATATGCATCTCCCGTGAGTCTGCTTTTGAGTAGTGGTCCTCTCTTGGGTGCTTCCACCGCGGTGATTGTCACCCAGTCGTCCACGAGTTCTTCATACCTGAACCAGCTGACTTTTCCGTCGTACGATGGCGGCTGCTTGGCGGTCATCGATGCGTTTCCTCCGTATAGCCTGGATTTTTGGCCACACTCGAATAGGCTTCCATGAAGCCTTCTCCATCGGATGACATCTTCCCTTGGATCTCCGCAGAAAACCCGCTCCGCTACCACAAATTGAGGCCCACTGCCGGCTGGTACCCTTGTGGTAGTAGAGGTCGTTGTTTAGGTCCCTGGATCTATTCCGCCCGGAGAGAATCCAATATGCCACTATGGATGATTGGAGGATGGATTGTTTGTATTGTTGTATAATCCTGTAAGCGGCCTGCAAAGGTTCCTTTGTCACGCAATCATGAGTATTGCTATGATACAGAAGGGCCTTGAGCCAAATGGTTGCGGGAGATCAATTGTGTAACAAACCAAACACACACACACACACACACACACACCGGTGGTGGGGTGGTTGAGTGGTTGAGTGGTTGAGTGGTTGGGGTGTGGTTCGGAGTTGGTTTAGGCTTGGGTTTCGAGGGCTCACACGGTACTGGACAGCATCCCCAGCATTGCAAGCATCATCCCCAAGATGCGGATGATGCGGGGGATTGGGGGGGGGGGGGGTGGCCCAGGGACTGGTACATATATATATGGAACCCTTTCTCAGAGGAAAGGTCTGGGCCCAACACCGTTTAAACCGTTTAAACCGATTAAACCGTTTGAACCGTTTGAACCCTCTCTCGGGTGGAACCTTGGGGGGGCTTTCATTTGAGAGAGGGTTTAAACGGTTTAAACGGTTTCAACGGTTTTGGGGCCCTGGCCCTTGGGGGGTAGGGGGATGGGGGGACCTTTGCTCTGAGAAAGAGCTGAAACGGTTAAAGCGGTTTTAGGCCTTGCGGTGGGGGGGGGGGGGTCTTTCCTCTAAGAAAGACTGTAAACGGTTTGGGGCCTTGGGGGAGGGACCTTTTTCTCAGAAAGGGTTTTAATGGTTTAAACGGTTTGGGGCCCTGACTCTCGTCTTTGCTGTTGTTCTTGGCATCTTCTGACCAAACATCGGATTAGAAATTGGACAGAGGTAGATCCAAACCGACTAAAATTTCATTCGGGCCTGGATTTAAGATTCGCTGGAAAAGTGTTTAACCTGAAGCTTGCAGAGGGGAAAGGCCGCAAAAAGGTAGAAATCACTGCAAATACCTATGAATTCTGAAAAAGTAGTTTCAATTGGGTATCCTTTTCAAAGAGCACTTTTAATTGGCATGTTGATGTCAAATAGACTTTCAAGGCAGTCTCCTTGTCTTCTTTTGAACTCAATAAGAAAATAATCCTAGTAGGATGTTCCAGATTAAAGAGAAACTAAATAGGTGTTCCTGTTCAAAGAGGACGTGTGATAAATCCAACTAAAGCCTTCTATTAAACCAAGCCCATCTTAATTATAGTCAAAACCAGAAACTCTACTAGAATTGTGTCATTGTTAAATGATGTTGAGATTATGGTCAAACAATTAAGTTGAAAATGTTTCAAACTTTTATTTCGATTCTTGTCAAATTAGATTCTAAAGGGGGTCTCTTTTTCTAGGATCGTGTTTTCAATTCTCCATAAAATTTAAGTGAAGTTTAGTGAGAAAATGATCCTAGCTATTTTAGTTTAAAGAGAATCTAAATGGGTGCCCGGTTCTAAGTCGAAATTGAAATTGGAATTTCAACCGTGTTCTAGTTGTAGTTTGATCAGACATTAAACAGAATTTAATAAGGACATATTTCTATTTTAACAAGAATTCAAGTAGGCGTTTGTTAAAGTAATATTATTAATTTGAGTTCCTATTTCAATTTCGACTTTGAAGCGGGTCTCCTTTTCTAGGATTAAGATCTCTATTCAATTTAGATAGACATTAACAGTGAAACATGCTAATATAATTTCTAGTGTTGAAGATGATGTAAATAGGATTTCCTGTTGGAATAGTATGTTTACTTGTGATGCTTACTTGAAAACAGATTTTCAAGAGGACTTCCTTCCCAGGATGTTTTTCCTAGCTAGAATCTAAATGGACTTTGGTAAGGCACCTTTTTTTGCTGCTTTCCCCAAAGCACAAAAAAGGCATAAAACACCGCCAATACCATTGCAACCAACAAAAAGGTCGACATTTGGGGGGTAGCATATATGTATGTATATATATATATATATTATATTTGTACCTTTGCGTAATACACAAATAGCACACGCTCAGAAGCAGGTTTCCCTGCGGCCCGAATGGGCATACTCACCGACCAAATGCACAAGCACATGTTCAGTGGCAGTGGAAAAACGCGTCCAGCAAAGGGAAAGGCCAGGTGGCCCCAAGCTTTTGATATGCTCCTTAATGCGTCATGGCAATGCTCTCTCCCTCGCATCGCACTCTCGGCACTCTCCCATCCTGATCTCCGGTGCCCTCCTCTTGCAAAGTTCTCTCCAGCAGGCCAGGCCTGCCCGATGCAATGTACTCTCACGGACTGAAAACTGTGCCCATCCATTGACACCATTGACATCCATGCAGTGTTTTGGCACCGAACTGAATGCTTTCCATCGGCCGACGACACAATCCAAAATCCGTGTTTTTTGTTGGAAACGCTGATTCACCTTTCACTCGTTGACGAGCTCGCAATACTCCGGCATGGTTCAAGTGCAAAGGGGATTTGCCTCCACTCCAAAGAGAAGTTGCCAACCACACGCTTTGGCGCCTGTGCCGACCATTGGGGTCAATGTAGCCCAACAACTCATCACCAGCACCCACACCAGAAAGAAGCAGTCTCTGCAAGGCTTTGACCTCAGCATGCCATCGTTCAAGAAGAGCGTCAAGAATCCTCCAAGATTCCCTATGATTTTATGGTTTATAGGTCCAACAGATTGCCATGATTGTACATCTAGGGTCTGGCCAAATATTCTCAACGACGCTGAAATGCGACGGACACTGACATGTGACCTACTGACCGTTTGCTTCTCAGCTTCCAAGGCCTGTGAGAACCCTCCAAGCTGCCAGGTGGCTCGTTCCGCCGCGTCCAGGGCGCGAAAGTACTGGAGCTGGTCCCGGCAGGCGAAGTTGGAGGCATAGTCGCAAACGAATGCCTCAGCAACATTGCCTTGCAATGCAATGCCTTGCAATGCAATGCCTTGCAATGCAATGCCTTGCAATGCAACACGTGTTTCGTACCGGAGCATGTCTATGTCAATGCTCAAGAGTACTAAAAGGAGCGAGCGCGATCGTGAGTTCAGCCGAGGAAGAGCAACGGTCTCAGCACTACTGCGTTCTTCTACCCAAATGGCTGACACAGGACAGAAGAACTTTCTGCAGGATCCTGTGCAAAGTGCACTAACTAGACAAAATGCAACGGATGACCGTTGCGGAGATGGCACATTCGATCGACGATAGAAAAATAATAATCGATTGCAACTTGTTGCCGCCAAGTAAAGTAACCGAAGTAAAAGTGAAAAGATTAGTGTCAAGCCTTGTGGACTGAGCTACAGTAAAAAAAAATGAAATGCAAGGAGTCAAGTAAGGCAGTTCAAAGCAAAACTTCAGTTCAGTACGGCAAGTAAAGTTTAGGCAATTGTGGAACCAAACAAAAAGTGAAACAAAGCAGGCGACGGATTGCGAGACGATAGGGTACAGCGAAGTCAAGTATGGGAGGAGTAAAATAGAATAAGCAAAGGAAACAAAATAAACTCATGTTGAAGTAAGCATTCGGCAACGATTTGTGAATAAAGGGAGTAAGGATGAAGTGAAGGAAGCTTCAGCCTTGCGGACATCAGGTTGTAAAGACGTGAATTGGGACTTCCAAATCCCAGTATCGTTGTAAGGATCTGCAAAGCGGAAGCACCTACTCATGATTCAGCTTAGCCCCGGATCCCCCCCACCCCCCACCCCCCCACCCTGCGCTTTGCTTCCAAAGTTTCAGGTGTTGGATTGGGCTCCACTAAGAAAACTCGTACGGTAGAACTATTCTGGAGCGAACCGAATGATTCAGGAATACTGCACGAATATATACACAATATGATGATATGTGTAGATTACGGCTGTAGTGTACAAAGCTCTTGATACTAGCACTACGTTGTACCGTAGTGTTCACCTCGGCAGCTACTTTTCAAGTGAGTAAATACACTAACTCCAGAAAAGTCATTGCAACTTTCAGGTACGAATGTAGTTCCCGAAGCTAAGTTGCGTATTGGAACCCTGAAAATGGGTGCGACTCCAAGGCCATACCTCTTCGAAATTTCTGTCTTCCAGCTTCGTTGCAGCTTGATGGAATGCACAGCTTTGAACTGATGTGGCAACCGTAGGAGGCCACAATCTGGACTCCAAAAATACCACAAACTTGTGCTGAAGCCCAAACCACCTTGCTGTCAAAGCCACCGAGACATCCAAAGCTGGCTCCAGCACAGAGAGCGCCTGCGCTACGCAACATCATTCTGACCAGCCCAAGCTGCGAAGGTCCTTTGGGATGTCAGAAACTATGTTATGAGCCACTGAGCCACAGCAAAAGCACGCCGCGGGATTGTGTGGGAAACAAGTGAGTCCCCTAAATTTTGATGGAACCTCAAAAGTGCAGTGCAAGTGTACATCAACTAGTCTTGAAGACACACTCAAGTCAAATAGAAATACTGCGATCTCATTGTCAAGCATAGTGCCTGGGCAGCCGAGCTTCAAACATTGGCACCATTTCTTTTTCACTTGACGCAGGCCTCGCACAACAAATCTGGATTGTCACGTAAAGGACCTGCTCTGTAGGATCTATGCTCTGCCACGATTGAGCATCTTAGTGCAAAGTGAGTGCAGCCATGACCGTTCTTGCAAGGCAACTGTAGCTGCCTGGGGCAGAGGGCAGACAAACGACAAACACCTGTGCAAGAAAGTGGCAGCTTGTCCTTTCTCCCTGCCTCCCAGCCCTCCCTCCATTGCTTACCCTCTAGCCTCCAGTGTGCCGCTGCGGCGTAGCACCAGTGCCAAATGCAATGCCACCGCGCGCAAGCTGCGGTCCTCACAGTGGACAGAAACAAAGCTTGATATCATATCTGCTCAGCTTAGTCAATGAAACAGAGCTCTGACCGCGCTGTGCAAATATTCGCAAAAAGAAACTATTGCAATGCCCGGAGGGTTGCCGTGTAGTCGCAGCTAGTCCTGCACTTGCAGCTGCTGCACAGCTCGCCCAAACTGTGCGGTCAACAGCAAGGCCTCAATGCAAGACAACATGCCACATGCCACATGCCACATGCCGCGCGCAATCAGTGAACATCATTGATTCACTAGAAGCCGACTACTTACCACCACACGTCCATCTCTTTGCAGTCCCGATGCAGAACCAACCTATTTAGCTGCATACATTGGGTGAAACCAGCCGTGAAAAAAACAAAAACAAACCAAAAAAAACATCCACAGACAAAGCGAAATACGGAATACTGGGCAAGCTCCCCATGTCCTCTCCAAAGGAACAACAGACTGCAAGCAATGTTGTCCAACGTTCGTTTGATTTACAACACAAGAAAAGACGGTCAACATCCTGGTCTATTCAAGGACAGCTCCTCTATTCGTTTCGTCAACACACAGAATGTTGACAACTTGGAGTGTCAAAGCTCCCGGAGGAATTTGTCGGGGATCCGCCGGCCACTGCTCGCAATCTGGAAAGATTGGCCACTGGCACCTACGGCTGCCTGAAAGGTTGTGTGTACATATTAGTGTTACACAGGTCCCCCCATACTTCCCTGAAAGCATCACCACTACCAAGGGAAACTCACCTTAAATGGTCCGAAAAGCTGATGTTGAAAACCATCTGGGAACCCGGTAATTTTTCGCAGACCGCCGGGTCCCCACTACTACTCTTAGGACCAATTCCAAACCAATACTAAATTGGCGGATTTCTCGCCAAGGCCAGCCCCAGCCTTACTCATTAGGGCGCAATCAGTTCAGGTTCCAAGCTCCTTGCACCAACCCCATGCCAAAGTCTAAATGCATATCAACAATTTTCTCATTTCATATATGTCATTCATTGTAATTCCAAATTTAAATTGCGCCTTGTGCATTTGAACCGCTAAGAAACTCCAACAGCTTTATTTGAATTTGTGACTTGGAAACTGCGATTTTGACAGTTTTCGTGTTCGGGAAGGAGGCAGCCCATTTGGACGAGGACCGAAGAGGCAATCCGGTCGACCCCTACTTGCCCGATCAATAAATATAATTTGCCCCTGAGCCAATATTTATTAATAGGGGGGCGTGTTTATTACTAGGGGGGAAGCGATTCAGGCCATGAACGGCCAAAACAAAGGCTTCTCGAGCGTGCATAACCAACATCTGCGCCACTCTGATAACCCCGGAATGGCCAACAGGAGCCGGGGCATGGCTGGGGGATGGCCAAGGAATGATTGGAGCTTCAACACACGCTGATAACAGCTTCTCACGCCCGCGCTCCGACTTACGAAGACGGCAAGTGAGCAACAAAGTATGTTATGCCACTGTCGAACCCTACTCAGTGCAAGCAAACTTGCGGTGGCTGAGCTCGGGTCTTTGACTGAATTCAATGTCTGCATTGCAGTGCTGGCGACACCTGCAATCACAAGCCATCTGAGCCAGCAAAAAAAATGAGGGCAAGCTGGAACAAGGTAGTTGTCCTCTATTAGTTCAGACCATGCTCAAGCTGATCTTCAATAGTATGACAGCCTTGCCAACGAGTTGCTCTTGTTGTCAATTTGCATCACAACTCGTAGCATCCCGATCTGTAGCTTGAAGCTGACTTCGAGCAATACGTAAAGTTGATGGGATGATGTCTGCTTTGTCTGCGAACATGTTTCATCAAACCATCAAGCCAGCTCTCTCCTGGTGCATCACCATCCACCGGATCAAAGTGAGAAGGTCCCAGTGAGGCAGCCTCGGTCGAAACAGAGCCACAAAGCCACACTCAGCTTGCGTAAGCATTCGTTCCCGAACGTCAGCTTTCTGGCCACCAAGCACCGTTCTGCATAAATAGAGCATGCACAAAGGTATTTATTATTGGCGAAAATATGCCCATAGCAATGCTGCCCACTGGGAATATCCAAAGTGGCCTGGTACCGCAGTTTCTCCAGCTGCTGCTTGAACTCGGGTGATTGGTCGTCGTCCTACCATGGCTGATGCAGCATAGCATTGATAACCAAGTGCAGACAACAAATGTGAGCATAAAACTTGCCATACAAACCAGCCTGGCCAAGCAAATGCACAAGGTGCAGGCGGTACCAAAGCCAATCCTGTCACGACAAGGGCCAGTGGTGCAAAGAGCATAAATGCAAGGGATGCACGACCATTCAGTTTTGCCCATTCAAGTGCAGTCCAAATAGAACTGCGCTTGCCGCCTCCACGGTTCCCTCTGGCAGGCGACCAAAAGCAAAGCCCCGGCCAAGCAGAAGGGACACCAGCACATCGTGAAAGCCCGAGCTCTCCTGACGAACAAATTGATTCTGTGATCCATACGAGTTGGTGACTGTGCCGGAAAGCACGGAATGTCAGAAAGGGCGCAGCACAAAAAACAGTAAAACAGGCGGCTTGCATGAGCAACACATTTGTGTGGAGAGCAAGACACGCTCTGAAGGATTCCATGTCGCCAATGCTCTGCTCATGCTGCCAGCGCCTCCACATCTGCCCGCAAGAGGTCGGCGGAGTCCACCTGCGCACCGGCCAGGGCAGCAGGCTGCGACGGGTCCGCTGCCTCCAGGGCCAATTTCAACAAAGGCCCTCCAGAAATTTCGGCCTGCCCTTCCAAGCTTCCAGTTGCCCCTTAAACCTCGCTCGTTAAACAATGTCCTGCAACATATTGACGCATCAAACGTCTTGAAGCATCTTGAATCCCGAAATATCTTGACACATCTCGAAATCCATCTCGAAATCCGCGACAAACGGCGTGCACAGTTTCGAACGGCGGGGGAGGGCACGCGTGATTCCGTGATTCCTTTTCGTAGCTTACATCCTTTACATCCTTTACACATGGCGGGACACAGTTGCGCAAAATAGTGGGGTGTTCGCATCCGGGGTCCGCTTCTGCATCCTTAGCAAAATCGAACGCATCACCAGCATCACCAGCATTATCTGGATCACGTCATGGAAGAAAAGGAGCGCAAACGGTGACATGAAGGATCCGTGTTCGTGTCTTGCACATCCAAGATGCCCAGCTATTACGAGCTTAAAATCCAAAATATTAATGGCTGAACACCTGAAAACCTTAGTGGATTAACGTGTTAACTTCTGAATGGCTTACAATATTGAAATATGAACGGCTTCAAACCTTACAATATTCATAGAGTAAAATCTTAAAATTTTAGTAGCTTTATGGCTTAAAATATTACTGGCGTAAAATCTAAAAAAATACTGGCTGAAAGCCTGAAAACCTTAAAATCTTAGTCGCGTAACGTGTGAAAATATTAGCTGCTTAACATCTTCAAACCTTACTGGCTTCAAACCTTAGAATCTTAATGGAGTAAAATATTGGGGTCTTGGTGGCTTAACGTGTCAAAATATTTCTGTCCTAATGTCTCAACATCTTACTGGTTTAAAATATGTAGATCGCAAGGGCTTTAAATCTGAGAATATGAATGGCTTAAAATCTTGCTGGCCCAAAATTCAAAAGTTGTAATGGCTTAAGATCTTAATTCTTAGTAGCTTAGCGTGATAAAACCTGAATGGCTTACAATCTTAGAATACTACTGGCTGAACCCCAAAAAACCTAATTGCTTGAACTCTGAAAATATTTAAACATGTTGAAACGTGTTGAAACATCTCGCAACATCTGAAGACATGTTGGAACATCTTAAAACATCTCAAACGTCTCGAAACATCTTGAAACATCTCGAAACAACTCAAAACATTCTAAAAGGTATTGAAACATCTCCAAACGTCTCGAAATCTCTTGAAGCATCTTGAAACATAGTGTTGAAGCATATCAAAACATGTTGAATCATGTTGAAACGTCTTGACGCATCTCTAAGCATCTTAAAGCATCTCGAAATAGCTTGACACATATTAAAACGTATTGAATCATCTCCAAACGTCTCGAAACATCTCGAAACATCTTGAAACATGTTGAAACGTCTTGAAACATCTCAAAGCATCCCAAGCATCTTAAAACATCTGGAAATATCTTGAAACATCTCCAACCGTCTCGAAACATCTGGAAGCATCTTGAAACATCTCGAAACAGCTCCAAATTATCTGGAGGCATGTTGAAACGAATTGAAACATCTCAAAGCATCTCCAAGCATCTTGAAACATCTCGAAATATATCAAAACAATTTGAAACGCGTATTGAAACATCTCCAAACGTCTCGAAACATCTTAAAGCATCTCAAAACATCTCGAAATAGCTTGAAACATGTTTAAACGTATTGAATCATCTCCAAACGTCTCGAAACTTCTTGAAGCATCTTCAAGCATCTTGAAACTTCTCGAAACATCTCGAAGCATCTTGAAACACAATGGAACATCTTAATTTCTCTCGAAACGTCTTGCAGAATTCTAAAACGTATTGAAACATCTCCAACCGTGTCGCAACATCTTGAAATATCTTGAAGTATCTCAACACATCTCGAAACATCTCTCAACATCTTCAAACATCTCAATACATGTTGAAACGTCTTGAAAGATATCGAAACATCTCGAAACATCTTCAAACATCTTCAAGCATCTCAACACATCTCAAATCATCTCGAAACATATGGAAACATGTCCAAACATCTCGAACCATGTCGAAACATCTTGAAGCATCTTGGAACATCCCGAAGCGGCTTGAAATATCTGGAAACATGCCGAAACATCACGAAAAACCTTGAAACATCTTCGAACATCTTGAAACATCTCCAAACGTCTCGAAACATCTTAAACCATCTTGAAGAATCTTGAAACATTTCCAATCATCTCGAAACATCTCGAAACATTGCGAAACGTCTTGAAACATGTTGAAACATCTTAAAATATATTGAAACATGTTGAAACATCTCGAAACATTTCGAAACATCTTGAAACATGTTGGAACGTCTTCAAACATCTCCAAACATCTTGAAACGTCATGAAACATCTTGAAACATCTCCAAACGTCTGTAAACATCTCGAAACATATCCGTTCGAACATCTTCCAACATCTGGGACCATCTCTAAACATCTCGAAACATCTTCAACTATATTGGAACATCTTGAACCGTCTCCAAACGTCTTCCAAAGTCTTGAAACGTCTTCCAACATCTTGCAACATCTCGAAACATATCGAAGCATTTTGGAACATCTCGAAACATCTTGAGACATCTTGAAACATCTTGAACATCTCCGAAAGTCTCGAAACATACTGAAACATCTTCAAGCATCTTAACTAATCTCGAAGCATCTCGAAACATCTCGGAACATCTTGAATCATCTCGACACATCTTGAAACATCTCGCAACATCTCGAAACATCTGAAAACATGTTGGCACATCTTGAAACATCTCGACACATCTTAGAACTTCTCGAAACATCTCGAAACATTTCGAAACATTTCGAAACATATTGAAACACTTGTGCTTGCGTAGCACTACCTGCAGCCGCTTGGCCATGAGGGAGCACACACCCCGCAGCATGGGGCACTGCTCGGAGGTGGGAGCTGCGCGCTGCGGCAGCTCCAGCAGCAGCTCAGTGAGCCCAGCACGGGCGGCCACGAAGGCGGCGTACCACACGTGGGTAGCGTTGCTGGGGAAGGTCGACGTCTGGAACTTCAGGCGCCCGTGGGCCTTGACCAACGACCAGGCATCTGGGATGCCGCCCAGGTGTGCATCCAGGTGATTGTACACGAAAGCCTTGACCTCCTCAAAGAAGCGCATTTGGAGGTAGCCAATGGCGCCAGAAGTCACACCGCCCAGGGTCATCTTCAGCTCATGGCTCACGATGTTCCAACACTCCGTCAGCTCGGGCTGGAAGGAAGGGGAGCTAGTGCTGCTCAGTTGGGCGATCCTCGCAGAAACCATCAAAGAAAAGGTTCAAGCAAAGCCGTTTAACGTCGCCTGTGCTGTGGAGGCACTTCCACCCCAATGTTCAAAACCTCTGGCACTTCCACACCCTTCCGGGCCTCTGCACCAACGGCGGCCCCATTGTCTCGCCCAGCAAGGCATCGATGATGGCCGCATCCTGCGGTGGTGGCACTGCTGCCACTGCTGGGACTGCCGCGCCGTCCGAGCACAGCGCAAGCACCGCAGAGCCCTGGGGCCACAGCACTACACAAAGTGGCAGACAAGGCTTCCCACTTTTAACATACAGTTGATCACGATTCGTACAAAAGCATATTTCAGGTGCTTGATTTGTACTTAATGTGCAAAGAAAGCGACAAAGATGTGATATCACAACCGGCCTGCCCCAGGCGCTGCAAGTTTCCCAAGAACTGTGCCTTGGCTTCCTCCCAGTCCCCGTGGAGCCGGTCAAAGGAGTGCCGTTCACAAGACCTGGCAATTGCTAAACAGAAGAAAGCTTGGCTGTGACAGCACTGCCTTGTTAGCCCCTGCAAGAACACCCCCAGTTGCCCTGCCTCAAGCAGTCTCTGTAGCTTTCCTCCACCGTCTCAACAATGACGCGTTCATGCCGGGAGGAAAAGAACTCTTGCAAGCTCAGCGATGGCTGATCTACATCCGTACTCGGCTTGGCCGCGGCAGTTTGCGGAGCGACCAAGGTGAAGTCAGCCACATCGCGTTCTAGTCGCTGTGCCTGCCCAAGACAGAACCATTTTCAAACAAGAGGGAAGACCATCCGTGATCCGTGTCCTCCCTCCCAAAAAGCAACTCGGGCTGGGAAAAATGCGCCTGGGGTGTCTGCAGCAGCCGTGGTGCAGAGGCAAAGGCGCTGGCATAGCTCTGAGACCGCGCTCGAGCCTGGCATGCAATGCCAAAGGCACAGCTGCTCCCTAGGTGTGACAGTGTAACGGATACAACTGCTGCAATTGTATCATGATGAAACACGGTGATTCTGACTCTACTCAGTTACTCGCCTCCCCAAAGAGTTGCTCCAAGGATTTGTGCACCGGTGTCCGGCGGCTCCTGGACAGCGCAGCTTGCACGGCAATGGACGATCCTTGGAGTCCTACCCAATTTGATGTTCTATCCCATGAGTGGGAATCCCCGGAGAGTGCAGCTTGGGAAACAATCATGATATGATGAACTGTTGTTCCTCCTTCGGAAAGCATTACGTATGTGTTCCAGGCAATTCTAAGTTCAACTGCGTCTCAGGCGCTTCCGAACCTCTCCTGGGTCCTGTGCCAACCTCCAAAAGCCGCTCCGCGCGCTCGAGCTGTCGGAGCCCCTCGGTCTGTGCGTCCACCACCACCGCCATAGGTTCTCAAAACCTTTAATTGGCAACTTGGCTGACTTGGCTGACCGGGACTGACATGCGCTGGTGAAGGCTGGGCAAGGGAGTGCAACCCCTGCAGAGTTGGCAGAAAGCTGTGAGAGCTCTAAGAAAGTGCCCAGACTGCAGGCAAAACATTCGCAGGGGCAGTGCCGCAAACATGCGCAGGCGCAGTGCCTCCCAGTGTTTCTGTGTGTGTGTGTGTGGGCGTGTATTTGTCCATATGCTCAGTCTTGGTTATTGTCAGTGTGGCCTCACTGTAAGCGCTTGCTCCTGAGCACCTTGAGCCACATGCCACATGCCACATGCCACATGCCACATGCCCAGAAATTACACGGATTGTTCCAGCAGTCTGCTCCCTCAATTCAGAAGTCATACCAGTACCTGGTTGAGACAAGTCCTGGGTCGGCCATTGGATTGCTGTGCTGCAAACAATGCGAATGCGAGCGCTAACCTGCAGCAAAACAGGGGCTGCCTGAAGGGAAGTGCAAATTGGATTGTATATCTCCCCATCCAAAGAGCATGCACTGCGTATCTTTCCCTCATACTCTTCGGCTTGCCGATCAGCAGCTTGCTAATCAGCAGATTCCCAATCAGCAGCTTGCTGGCAGGCGAGTTGCGGAACCCCCGACTCACTTGAATGGGCTGCGAGATCCTGGCAGCTCCGATAGAACACAGAAGTGCAAGGTCCAAACGGGCACAAGAACAGCCTGAACATGCTTCCAAACCGATGCGTTAAGTCTTTAGTGAAGATCAAGCCATACATGGCATGACACCCGGTGGGCAATAGCACACCCAAGGTCGCGACGCTGTCGGATCGCCCCACCGCGAGCCTGTCTTGAAGGAAGGCTGTTTCTAGGCCCCGCTTGACATAGCAGCAATGTGCAGCACACACACACACACACTCGCGCGCGCGCGAAAATACCATAGTTGAGATGAGTCATCAGAAGGAAAATACGCATCCTCTGCCGCTAACAGGTCAGGACGACCGCGCCGCAACGGGGGCATTGCTCGTGCTTTGCGAAGACAAAATTCTTGTGGTTTTGGCCTGAGGAGTCAATGGTCAGTCAGAAAGCAGTCCTTTACGATGCCGACTGCTCAATGTGTCTGTCGTGTGGCCAGTCAAAGAGTCTCTGTGCTCACTGTGCGTTCACCATGCAGCATCTAAAGTGCCGGATCGAGCAAACACTGATTCAGACCCGCACATGCCGTCAAAGTGCCATGCATCTGATTTAAAGCGTGAGGAATGGCGTGGAAAACCATTCCCTAAGCAAAAGTCGGTGCTGTTGTTGCAGTGACTTACTGATGGTTCTGGATGATCCACGCAAACGATTCCGCTGCAAGGCTGTAGGGTAAAACAAGAAGAACAACTAGCAACAAGTCAGATGTAGATATTGCAATCTGTGTTAGTATTTACGAAGCTACGCAAATTATGGCCCATCACACCGATTGGTTTTTCTGGCCAGATGCTTCTCGTAGGTCTCTGGCACTCTGGCGAAGGGCACTGCCAATCACCAGGGTTAGCTCCGCCTGACCACTGGCGGCACGTCTCAGCCTAGCTGCAGATCGCGGAGCCTCTTCCAGGCTTGCCAGAGCCACACTGAGGACAGGCATCGTGCTTGCCCTCAGCATGCAGTCAGACCGCAGATTTCCGTTGAACACCTTCCGGTCGCTTAACCACATCAGACCCGTTTCGTGGAAAAATTAACCCAGCCAAGCAAGTTTGCTCGCCTGAGTGTCGAGCGAAGACCATGCGCCTATTATTCACGCACTCGGTGTTCGGGCCTGACAAGGTGCTGGATCCCCAAAGGCAACTCTAGCTTTCAACATCCTGCTTGTTTGATGCCTCAAAGCGCATGTTTCTTTCAAAGTAACAAATGCAGGCTGCCACTTCTCCCCAAGCTAGCTTTCATGATAGGCCAAGGTCTTGTAATGAAGAAGAACATGAGGTTTTGATGCCAAGCATTCCGAGCCTATCAACATCAACACAATACCGTTCTTGGACCACGATGCTGCGCCATTTGTTTGGAGGGGAACTGAGCTTCGCGCACTGCCAATCGTTCGCTCTTCCGTTCATCTAGGCAGGAATGGCCAACATAGCGTGATTCAGAGTGCTAAACTTCCCGTCTCAGAGTCTGAAACGAGCAAAAAAGCGCGAACTGTTCATCTTGCTGAAGTCTGCGCTGGGGCTTTCAGTCCAGTGCAAGATGAATAGCCACGGCAAGCCTGTTCTTTTTCACTACTTCCAAGCTTCTGGCCGCCATTGCGTTGAAGCCGCTCATTGAAATGCCTGCCAAAGGCTTGGCATGCAAGGTCTCCAAAAAGACTGTTTCCAAAAAGGAGCATGTCCAGGTTCAGTGTTGTCGTACTGCACGAAAGAGAAGGTGAGCCTAATTGTGAAACAAACAACAAAATATATAACTTGTTTTTACCAATATGGTGGCTCATTTCCTTGTCATTGCGATCATTTGAGCTCTGCGGGTCATATTTAGCCAAATATGATTGTCAAGCAACGACATGCTTACGTGTGACTGGAAGTCAATAATGCATTCACTGCTCAAAGACTTGTTTCAAAACAGAGAATTGAAAACGCAAAACCTGATTCTGCTCCATCGGGCCTTGTCCCATGGACACGGGCACTGGAATGTAGCGAACCATTGGCTGCATTGACATGGCCGCAGACATAGATGGTTTCGCCTGAGCCTGGCAGCTGGGAACATGGGTAAGGCTGTGCAAAAGGAACCTGCAAGGAGGCTGTTTAGGTCACAGTTTAGGTTTATGGGGAAAATGTTCAGCGTCATGTCGATCTGAAATGCCGCAATCCCAAGTTGGAAGGCCTGCTGTCGCCGACCTTGCCCCTTGGTCGAAAGGCACAGAGCAGAGCGACACTCAGTCTACAACTGTCAACCTGTATGGCCAAAAAGCAGATTCTGAAAGAAAGCCAAGAGCGGCACAAATGCTGGTTTTGGCCTTGGCTACGCACACTAAAATTCCGAACACACCCCAACTGGTCTGTCTGGTTCAAGAACATTCGGACCAACTCTGCCTTCTGGCATGGACTCAGGCGTTGGTTGTGGGGCCGCAGGCGTGACAAGAAACTGACTTTGAACCAGCTGCACGCTCCGTGCAGCACAAGGCAAACTTGCTGACCCAAGATAAACCACAAGCTATCCGCTCCCTCATCCGCATCTGCCCCTGTCTTTGCCAATTTCACCTGGTGGCTAGAGTACTATCGGGTCGCCCCAATTCATTGCCAGGCACGCCTGCTAGCGATCTCTGCCTGTGGAGTGCGCCCCAAGTGAACCTCTCCAGTTAGCAAGGACTCGGAAGAGGGATTAACTATGGGGCCGCACCTCTCAAAAGAAACCGATGTTGGCCCAAGTGCACACACCGTCACTCACCTATGCGGCCCGTTCCCTGTGTCCAGCCACGTCTTTGCAACGCCTGCAGCACCAGGAAACCTTGCTGACCCAAAATGAACCACAAGCTATCCTCTCCCTGATCCGCAACTGCCCCTGTCTTTGCCAATTTCACCTGGTGGCTAGAGTACTATCAGGTCGACCCAATTCATTGCCAGGCACGCCTGCTAGCGATCTCTGCCTGTGGTGTGCGCCCCAAATGAACCTCTCCAGTCAGCAAGGACTCAGAAGAGGGATTAACTATGAGGCCGCAGCTATCACAAGAAACCGATGTTGGCCCAAGTGCACACACCGTCACTCACCTATGCGCCCCGTTCCCTGTGTCCAGCCACGTCTTTGCAACGGCTGCAGCACAGGGAAACCTTGCTGACCCAAAATGAACCACAAGCTATCCTCTCCCTGATCCGCAACTGCCCCTGTCTTTGCCAATTTCACCTGGTGGCTAGAGTACTATCAGGTCGACCCAATTCATTGCCAGGCACGCCTGCTAGCGATCTCTGCCTGTGGTGTGCGCCCCAAATGAACCTCTCCAGTCAGCAAGGACTCAGAAGAGGGATTAACTATGAGGCCGCAGCTATCACAAGAAACCGATGTTGGCCCAAGTGCACACACCGTCACTCACCTATGCGCCCCGTTCCCTGTGTCCAGCCACGTCTTCGCAACGCCTGCAGCACCAGGAAACCTTGCTGACCCAAAATGAACCACAAGCTATCCTCTCCCTGATCCGCAACTGCCCCCTGTCTTTGCCAATTTCACCTGGTGGCTAGAGTACTATCAGGTCGACCCAATTCATTGCCAGGCACGCCTGCTAGCGATCTCTGCCTGTGGTGTGCGCCCCAAATGAACCTCTCCAGTCAGCAAGGACTCAGAAGAGGGATTAACTATGAGGCCGCAGCTATCACAAGAAACCGATGTTGGCCCAAGTGCACACACCGTCACTCACCTATGCGCCCGTTCCCTGTGTCCAGCCACGTCTTTGCAACGCCTGCAGCACCAGGAAACCTTGCTGACCCAAAATGAACCACAAGCTATCCTCTCCCTGATCCGCAACTGCCCCTGTCTTTGCCAATTTCACCTGGTGGCTAGAGTACTATCAGGTCGACCCAATTCATTGCCAGGCACGCCTGCTAGCGATCTCTGCCTGTGGTGTGCGCCCCAAATGAACCTCTCCAGTGAGCAAGGACTCGGAAGAGGGATTAACTATGGGGCCGCAGCTCTCACAAAAAACTCATGTTGGCCCAAGTGCACACACCGTCACGCACCTATGCGCCCCGTTCCCTGTGTCCAGCCACGTCTTTGCAACGCCTGCAGCACAGGGAAACCTTGTTGACCCAAAATGAACCACAAGCTATCCTCTCCCTGATCCGCAACTGCCCCCGTCTTTGCCAATTTCACCTGGTGGCTAGAGTACTATCAGGTCGACCCAATTCATTGCCAGGCACGCCTGCTAGCGATCTCTGCCTGTGGTGTGCGCCCCAAATGAACCTCTCCAGTGAGCAAGGACTCGGAAGAGGGATTAACTATGGGGCCGCAGCTCTCAAAAGAAACGGATGTTGGCCCAAGTGCACACACCGTCACGCACCTATGCGCCCCGTTCCCTGTCCAGCCACGTCTTTGCAACGGCGACCCAAGATGAACCACACTCCGCAACTGCCCCTGTCTTTGCCAATTTCACCTGGTGGCTAGAGTACTATCAGGTCGACCCAATTCATTGCCAGGCACGCCTGCTAGCGATCTCTGCCTGTGGTGTGCGCCCCAAATGAACCTCTCCAGTGAGCAAGGACTCGGAAGAGGGATTAACTATGGGGCCGCAGCTCTCACAAAAAACTCATGTTGGCCCAAGTGCACACACCGTCACGCACCTATGCGCCCCGTTCCCTGTGTCCAGCCACGTCTTTGCAACGCCTGCAGCACAGGGAAACCTTGTTGACCCAAAATGAACCACAAGCTATCCTCTCCCTGATCCGCAACTGCCCCCGTCTGTGCCAATTTCGCTTGGTGGCTAGAGTACTATCAGGTCGACCCAATTCATTGCCAGGCACGCCTGCTAGCGATCTCTGCCTGTGGTGTGCGCCCCAAATGAACCTCTCCAGTGAGCAAGGACTCGGAAGAGGGATTAACTATGGGGCCGCAGCTATCACAAGAAACCGATGTTGGCCCAAGTGCACACACCGTCACTCACCTCCCGTTCCCTGTGTCCAGCCACGTCTTTGCAACGGCTGCAGCACAGGGAAACCTTGTTGACCCAAAATGAACCACAAGCTATCCTCTCCCTGATCCGCAACTGCCCCTGTCTTTGCCAATTTCACCTGGTGGCTAGAGTACTATCAGGTCGACCCAATTCATTGCCAGGCACGCCTGCTAGCGATCTCTGCCTGTGGTGTGCGCCCCAAATGAACCTCTCCAGTGAGCAAGGACTCGGAAGAGGGATTAACTATGGGGCCGCAGCTCTCAAAAGAAACGGATGTTGGCCCAAGTGCACACACCGTCACGCACCTATGCGCCCCGTTCCCTGTCCAGCCACGTCTTTGCAACGGCGACCCAAGATGAACCACACTCCGCAACTGCCCCTGTCTTTGCCAATTTCTCCTGGTGGCTAGAGTACTATCAGGTCGACCCAATTCATTGCCAGGCACGCCTGCTAGCGATCTCTGCCTGTGGTGTGCGCCCCAGATGAACCTCTCCAGTCAGCAAGGATTCGGAAAAGAGATTAACTATGGAGCCGCAGCTATCGCAATAAACTGATGTTGGTCCAGGTGCACAACAACGGCCGCAGCAGACGGAAAACGTGTTGTCCGCTGATCACAAGCCAATTTCACATGGCTAGAGTAACTTCAGGTCGACCCAATTTATTGTCTGACAGACTGATGTTGGCACAGCCCCAGCCCCAACCTTTATATGCATCAGGCCGGCATCGCAAAGAGGGCGCTTCACTCTGACGTCGGACGTCCTCTTGCAGTCCGAACTGACTTTCCCTGCCAAAGAAAGTTGTCTGTGCTGGGCTATGGCCCCATTGTCAACCGCTCTTTCAAGTCTTCGCTGAAAAAGGTTCATTGTATGTTTCAATCTAGAATCAAGTTGTCTACAAGCTTCTTCATATGCCGCTGCAAAACGCCGGCTGAGCGACGGACATGCCACACTTGGGGCAATTGCTTTTGCTGGCGAAGACGCAGTTCTTGGCATTCACACACCTCATAGCACACAGGTATCGCTATAGCCAAACCGTGCAACAATAGACATCGGTTTGGGGCGAATCTGGTCTGGGCTAGCAACATGCGTAAGGAGCAAGCCCAATCCTGGACCGCCCTGTTCCGAGTCCACTGCTGAGGGTTTGGGCATAACCAATCACCGGGGCTCTTGGCATTCCTGCGAAACTCACGTTGCGTGACATTCTTTCATACAAGGCGAAGGCTGAGCCGAAACACAAAACTGACGCGCGGACATTTTACGCCAAGCTGCAGGTCCATTACGATTCGAAATGCTGAAATCCTTTCGTCACCGGCGCTGGCTGAGGTACAAAACAACGCAGCACTGCCACAGCCTTGAGCCACGTCGAGTACAAAGAGTGAACACCCATGAGGTAATTATGAAAACGTCGGTTTGCTAGAAGGACGTTGCGACATGTCAAAAACACCAGAATTCTCAAATTAATTTGCCAAGGCACACGGCAAAGCAAAGTAAAGCTGCCTTGAGTGCCCACATGCCTGGGCAGCGAAGCTGCACTGTATTTCCAGCCCAATAAACACACTCGAACCCGGAGGACCACTAGACTGTGCAGGCAGGATGCGCTGCAAACTCAGCATACCTCAGCTTCACGTAGCTAAGCATAGCTTGACAGTGCAGCATGCTTGGCAAAGCGGGGCATTCAGCACAGGGCAATGAGAAAGGCTTGCACACTGTCCATTGTGGCAGCTCGAGGTTTCTCTGCAAAGCCAAGAAGAGCTTCATGAACCGCTTTGTATTTGGGTCTAGCTACCCGGGTCTAAATTTGTGAAATGTCTCCACGGAATGACTTACAGAACATTGCCTGCACATCTCCGTATAATGCATGATATCAGTGCGTCACTCCTACCAAGAAGTGTGCGGTTCTGCGACTCACAGCCAAAACGTACTTCAGCTTGGCTGCAGCTACGGACTCATGGCTAGTTCTAATCCAAGCTTCTATACATGTAAAGGACGTAGCTGCCAGCTGTGAAAAGGACCACCAACATGCCGCCAGTGACTGGAACAAAGTGGACCTGGCAAGCGTAAAGCGAAATGTGCGAACTGCTGCTTCCAAGCACTGAGACCCACGCCTTGCCCAAGCTGATGAAAAAACTCATCAAGGTTTGCGAGAGGACCTGGGTCGCAGGGCCATGTGACTGTACAGACTTGCCACCTTCAATCAAAAGTGCTACTCGGCAATGTGCTCCATGTGCTGCTTCAGCGCGCTGTTCGACTCCAAGTTGCAATCAATCCAGAGCACATGGCCACGCCAAGGGTGCCTACAGTTGACTTTGCAAGTGGCCTTCAGTCATGCAAAGTACGCAGCTTGTAGCATCACTCAAGTTATCGCTGTGATGACTGTGATGGTGGTGATGAAGAAGCTATCGTTGGCAGTCATGGTAGGCATGGCAATCACGGCAGTGATGGAGTTGATGGTGTTGGTGGGATGGTGGGCTGGTGGTGCTGGTGGTGCTGGTGATGCTGATGGTGCTGGTGGTGCTAGTGGTGTTGGCGCTGATGCCTGTGCTGATGCCTTTGCTGGTGCTGATGCCGGCTGCTGATGCTGTGCTGATGCTGGTGCTGGTGCTGGTGCTGATGCCTGTGCTGATGCTGGTGCTGGTGCTGGTGTTGATGCTTGTGCTGATGCTGGTGCTGATGCTGTGCTGATGCTGGTGCCAGTGCTGGTGCTGATGCCTGTGCTGATGCTGGAGCTAGTGCTGGTGCTGATGCTTGTGCTGATGCTGGTGCTGATGCTGTGCAGATGCTGGTGCTGATAATGCGGGTGATGCTAGTGATGCTGACCGCGTTGGTAGCTGGTGATGCTGGTGATGCTGGTCATGCAGAAAGATTTGCAGGTCCGATGCCAGTCTCAATGAGCATTCACTTTTAGACTGCACATTGACTTAAAGAAAGCCGGGTTGTCGTTTAGCGAGCATCAAAGTCGTAGTATGAAGCAGCTGAAACTGTGCATCTCAGCCAGTCCGGATCGCTACTTGTTCACTTCGAAGTTCGGACATTTCAGAAAATGACATCGCCGACAAGCTGAAAATGATACAAAGTTGGATGGGCCGAGATGCTGTGCAAGACCTCAACTTGCACCAGCGGGTCCGTGGTGAACACGTCCACACCTCATCTAAAGGAGTCACGTTAGGCGCCAAACTACATGCTTCTCCCGAGACAATCAGTGCAGGTGTCCCCGCAAGCCACCAAGGGGGGTTCTATGAGTGTGATTGAAAAGACAAACCCAAACAGGGGCTTCTTAACTAAAGGTCCGGAGCTGCAACCCAAACAGGAGCCCCGGCGCAGGTGCAAGAATGCCAGAACGCAGCCTGCAAAGCACAAAAAAAAAGCCACAGAGAGCCCCCTCTTTGACGGCCGCCTTCATGCCGCCCATGCTCTCTCAACGCGTTCTCTAAAATCATAATTCTGCGATGCTCTGCCTTGCCTGCACTTATCAAGGAGAAGCACATTGCAACCATGGCCAGCACAGAGGCCTAGGCTTTGCCAACAAAGCCCTGGCATTTCAAAGCCTCTTACATGAGCAGAACAGGCAGCCAGCCGCCTCACCACATTTAAACCTCTATGCTCCCAAGATAATGCCCTCATTCACACCCAGTCACTGTATGCCGCCACTCAACTCCTGTCAAGTCTTTGGACAGGAAAGTCTGGCCTGCGTGCGAACCAGCAGTTGTAGGCAATTATTGTGACCCAAAAGTGGAAAGCAATGAGTTCAGCAAGGTTGAGCATGTGCTGAATAAAAATAGCTGCAAGGCCCAATGGATAAATGTGGCACTGTGCGAAGCCTGCTCCAAGGAGGCTTACCCCACACTTGCCTGACTGCCCAAAGCTTCAAGCGCCTGCCCACTCCATTGGCAAGCTCAAGGATAATCCACAGATTCGCCACATGGCATCCAAAATCCTGCGGGAGTCAGCAACACAAAGCCGCTAGCACCGCGTCGAATCAATGCTGCACAAAGAGCGGTTGTGCGATGTCAATGATCAAACTGGGCAGCCCGTCTGATGTGCAGCGCCCGATGAGGTACCCATCTTTGACGCCAAGCACGTCTCGGAAATGATGATCATCAAAAGAGCCACTGCCTGTAGCGAAAGAACATGGGGCTGTCAACAAACACACTCATGTTACACAACCTTCTGAGGGCAATACACTGAGGAAAAGATTGACGGCATACTTGGCGAAATGCCTCGCTTCTCTCCTGTAAGCGGTTGGCCAGCAAAAATAAATCACGCATGCAGCCACAAGGCAAAGAATTGTGTCTGGTGTGCGTGAATAAACCCGGTTTCCACATCAATCCTTGGCACATCCATGTTGGTAGGATGGTATTACGCTATGATTAGTTTGTTTTGTGACAGCGAAGGTTCAAGGCTTGTTGAAGTACCTGGATCCGTGCACGATGCACAGGACCCTACTGAGCAAAAATAGATACACATCTTCATACCCATCCTGCGTGGACAGTAGAACTGCTTCGGCCAGAGCCCAGAATGCCGGAGTCGTTGCAATGTAAACCCCGCTGCCGCAGACCTCAACAAACTGCAACATAGCTTTCTTGCACTATCATGAGTCAAGCGGATTGCAAATTTCACTTTCGAGCAAGGCACGTGGCTACATCAGTTGCAATAGCAGCTCCAAAAGCACCCTGCTTGGGGCAAAGGAGCAAGTCTCCAATCACATTCACCACGAAAGCGATCCTTGGCTTGACGTTTGAAAAGGGGTTGCCAGCTGCCAGGTGCTTTTGCAGACAGAGCACACCGACGCCACGAAGGGTGTCACGGAATCCTTCTCCGCCAGGCAAACCACATTGCAGCTGTCCCGTATCTAAGCGCAGTTTGATACAGATGGTGCATAAACCTATTTCTGCACCCGTACAAATTTCTGCAGATATGCAAATGTCAAATGTGTATGTGGACGTGCAAGATATACATATTTACCCAACCACCCACCCAACCCCCCCACCCCCAAGCGGGGGTGGGGGGGTTGGGGGGGGGAGGGGGGGCGGGGGAGGGGGAGGCCTACTGCCCCAAGTGCCGAAGGCAACTGGTACCCTGTGGTAGTAGAGGTCGTTGTGTTGGTCCCTGGATCTATTCCGGAGAGAATCCAATATGCCACTGTGGATGATTGGAGGATGGATTGTCCCTGGTGGATTGTCTTGTGGATAATCCTGTAAGCGGCCTGCTAAGGTTCTTTTGCTTCACGCGATCATGAATGATGCAATGATATACAAAAGGGGCCTTGCGCCAAATGTTGCGGATCAATTGGTCTGAGAACCAAACACAAAACAGACACAAATTTCTTTTGATCTCCAGCACTAAGTATGAAATACTATTGGCTTCATGGCCTTTGGCCGTAGCCTCGGATGAAGTGTCTTGGCTTTCGAAATGGAAAACACTATGCGCTGCTTCTTTTTGAGATACCTAGATGTATCAAAGGGTGATGTACAACGCTATGTACACGCGGGACGGCGAGGATCAATCATCTGAATTGAGTTCGTGGCGCTGAACGTATGAATCTTCATGGTCAGTCGGATCGACGATACCATCGGCGGCTGCTGTCGGATTGACTGCCATAGTCTCCATAATCATTCCAGGTCGAGTTGCTATAGTCCTTCCACTGCTTCTGATGTCCCCACTGCTTGTTGTAGTCCTTGTACTCCTGCGGGGTCCAGGCTTGTTTCTTCTTGATGTACTCCTGGTATCTCTCAGAGCTGCGTTGCCTGGTTGCAGATTTGCTGCGGATGTAAACCATGAGAGGACTGTGAGAGTCGGAGTCCTGCGAGCCATTCATGAACATGTCATTGATCACGCGCTTGGCTTAAAGCGCTCTGCGGATGAGACCTGGTAATCGAATATGGCCTTGGTTGGATGGTTCCGCATGAATTCCAGTTGTTCATCATCCATGCCGTTCATCTCGTCCTTCCGGAAAGCCTGCTGGATGTTCATTTTGCCCCATCCAAATACGAAAGTAATCATCACATCTGGGAGTGTTCAATCATATCCTGATCCACACTTCATGTACAGGTGATGACGGACAATGGATTTTAGGGCGCACGAAGTCTCCATTGCATACTCCATTCTGTCCACGAGTGGCAAATTTTTCGTTTCATTCCACAGTCTCTGATATGCTCTCATGAGGATGTTCACGAGACCGTTGGCCGGATTGAAGACGTGCTGGAGTTTGCTGTAGGTGTTCGCTGATTTGTTGGCGTCTCCGGTGATCGCATCGCATCGGTACAAAGTCACGAGCGGCATGATTTCATTTTGAAGATCTTCCCTTGTTGCTCCATGGCTAATTGAAGGATGGATGTGGGAAACTCCAACGGTAGCGAATGGGAGATCTGCCCTCGTTATGTGGCGGTCGTCATACTCGTGGAGTGACTTGTTGGATGATTTCGCACTCTGCTCGATATGGAGAACGACGATCTCCTTGTTTCGGCCATGTCCTTGGACAATGGTGCGTGTTGGCAATCTCGGTCCAATGTACTTCTTGGATTCAGTAAACATAGATGGTCCTGTGGTTGCCAAGCAATCCGAGGTCGGAATTTCGTATTCGGGATCAGTGCAACTCCGAAGAAACATCTGAACATTCCGAATGTGGTTCCCCAATTCTGGCTCTTGGTGGAAATGTGTCTTGCCAGAAGTTCCACTCTTGCAGAAGGTCCGCCACGGACAAAGCATGCGATCTGTCTGGATGACCATTGCTTGATCACGATGCCCTTGTAACCGTATCGGATGAACGTCTTGATGAGCTCCCTGGATTTCTCATCATTAGGACTGAAGAATGCGTCTGCTTCATTCAGGCATAAGATGTGTGCACTGTTCTGCATCATCATCTTTACGATCGGTCGATCCTTCATCGGCATGTTGTACACCTCCCTGTTGTCCAGCTTTGGATTCTTTGTGAGGTTTCCATGGTTCAGGGTAAGCATGTTGATCGCTATGGATGAGGTGAACTCATGCATCTTGAGATAGTCCACAGGAGGACGGTCGGTCGGCTGCATCAGCGATCCCAGGATATCGGCATAGGCTCGGATGATTTCCGGGTCATCATGTGATCTGAGCTTCTTCAATCCAAGCGGAAGCTTAATCGGATATCCGGATCCTGGTTGAGCTTGCTTGTACTCGTCAATGGTGGGACATTCTCCTCGATGAGGGAAGTAGAATTCTTCTTCTCCGAGATTGACATCGGGATCGACATGTGCCAAGGAGGCTCTCTCGCACTCTGTCAAGTTGGGATGAGCTCTTCTTGGATCTTTGTTGAACTTGTTCATGAAGCGGGAGAGGTTTGCCTTGGTCTCCGCGAGCTCTTCCTCTGCGTCCTTTTTGTTCAAATCTGTTTCGAGATAGATTCCCTTGAGTTCTTGGATGAACTCATCTAGGTTCTCTGAGTTGACTTGTTTTGCTTCGTGATGGTGCATGTTTTGCCGCTTGGCAAACTTCACACTCACTTCGGATCTTGTCAAATAGATCGAATGTTGATTTCGGCAAATGAAGTGCTCGGGTTCTAAATCGAAATTGATCTGTTGTCATGCGATGATGCTGCAGGTGGAGTTTCTTCAACTCTTCGGGAATTGACAATCGCTTGTGCATTCTGCCTAGGGCAAGCGGAAGCGATGTTGGTTCTTCTGAGGATGGTGCGAAAGGATCTGGCTCAATAGTCGACCGGCCCCTCTTGTCGATGATCCTGTCTGCTGCCGATCCTGAATTGTCCGCGAAGGTGAAAATGGTCTTACCTGTCCACAGGTTAATCATCGGTTTATTTGCCTGGGATGTAAGTCTCCAATTGTCTTCTAAAATGTCTGGATCTCCACCTGCGGATGCATCAATGATTTCCGTAGTACGTTCTCGGCTAATGTGATCAGGATTGATTGGACATTCCTTGGCTCCATTTGGTGTGAACAGCGCCTTTCGGGGCGTGATGTGCACACGGATGAGCTGCTTGTTCTTCTTGTCAAGGATCCAATGGTCCTGCTTTCGAGACCCAAAGATCTTAGGAGTTGCTAGGTCCTCCTTTGTCTCGGATGATTTTGCTGCACAAACAGTTTCGCTCTTGGTGAGATCCCCGGAGGGAAACTTGATGCTGTTATCATCGTCATAGACATAGTTGATGAGGCCCTTGTGAGCAATTTCTCCATGCGCCTTCACTCTTGCAACTCCAGCAAGATCGACGAGTGCATGTCCTGTACCGGATACCGGAACTTCTTGACGGTTCACGCCAAAGACTTTGCATGTGATCTTGTCACATTGAGGTGTGTGCTCGATGGTCATGTAGAGGTTCCGCATCTGGCTGATGCTGAAAAGGATCGGTACAGTTCCTTGTTCAAGGACGTCGATGTTGGTACTGCATGGAGGAGTTGTGTGATATCGAAGACGCAGGGTCCAATTTACCCTGGCGGTCTCTCCGTTTGCAAAAGTGAACTTGGTCTCGGCCCGGATGTACTCATAGGAGATGACTGGGTTGCATGCCAGCTGCCCATAGATCTGGTACATCCATTGTCCAGAATCGCATAGGTCGGTTGTGCTGAGGGTTGATGACAGGCGCCATCAGCTTTGTTGCCAGAAGGCTGTGATTTGTTGTGACGGACAGATTGTGTTCTGAAACTGTATCTGATTGGATCAGCTTCTCGTGGATGGCCTTTTTCCCAGGATGCTCATATGCATCATGGAATGCCATTAACGCTTGCCCTGCGCTGGATGTCTCATGGGATGAGTACCAGCCATGTTCGTTCCATGTCCATGATTGATCCCAGTCTTGGTCCGTCCAACCGGCATAGGTAGGCTCTATGGATGGCGCAGGCTGCTGGATGGCGGGCTGCTCCTCCGTCTTCTCTGCGGTGGCTGCGAACGTCTTGGATTTTCCTTTCTCCTGTCCGCTCCTTCCTTTGCCACTCTCATAGGATGGATAACCTTTGTTTCCATCATAGGGATATTGGAATTTTGATTTTCCTTTCTTTCCCTTCTTTCCTTTGCCTTCTCCCCAATATGCCTGGTCGTAGGGATCATAGTTTTCGTTGGCCATATTGGCCTTTCCGCCAGAACCGCTTTTTCTGAAGGGTTTAAAGCCACCTCGTTGGTGACTGCCCTTTTTGTTTCCTGATTTTCCTTTTCCTTTTCTCTTCTTGAACTTGAAGTTCCGCCCCGACACTTTTCTTGCTATGAACGCATCGTTCTCCTCGAGGACCCAGAATGTCTCTTCATCGTTGTTTGACATGAATCCTTCAAGTCCTTCTTCATCCTCAACCCAGAAGCCTTCTTCTCCTTCGTATTCACCTTGCTCGGTGATGAAGAATGTGTTGCTTCGGTTGCCTCCTTGAGGTCGGATGGATGGATCTTGGATTGATGTCCTCGTCGTGATGAAGAGTTCATGGTAGTGCGTCTTCAGCATCTCATAGGAGTAGTTTTCTAGTGAGATGTTTCTCAATGACATTGCACTTGTCAGTCTCTCTCGTTGCTGATCTGACAGCTCACTTTGAATAATCTTCATCAGGATCTTGCAAAAGGTCGTTTTGGAGGACTGCCTTGTACATATATGCATCTCCCGTCAATCTGCTTTTGAGCAGAGGTCCTCTCTTGGGTGCTTCCACCGTTGTGATGGTCACCGTCGTACGATGGCGGCTGCTTGGCGGTCATCGATAAATTTAATGAGCCTTCTCCATCGGATGACATCTTCCCTTGGATCTCTGCGGAAAACCCGCTCCGCTACCACAAATTGAGGCCCACTGTGCCAGGTGCCTATCCCCGAAGGGAACTGGTACCCTGTGGTAGTAGAGGTCGTTGTGTTGGTCCCTGGATCTATTCCGGAGAGAATCCAATATGCCACTGTGGATGATTGGAGGATGGATTGTCCCTGGTGGATTGTCTTGTGGATAATCCTGTAAGCGGCCTGCTAAGGTTCTTTTGCTTCACGCGATCATGAATGATGCAATGATATACAAAAGGGGCCTTGAGCCAAATGTTGCGGGAGATCAATTGGTCTGAGAACCAAACACAGGGGGGGGGTCCACGGCCTGGAACATATATTCAATATATATATATATATGTATAGGCATGTACGTACACACAGAATACACCTCTGTTTACGTTCACTAGCCGGGACGATGATGCTTAAAAAGCAGGAGAAGGATGGCGCCCACCCCTGATACCCTGAAACCTTACCACCAAAAGACAGCCCTAAGCTTTGTCCTAGCAACGAAAGGAAGAAATGAGAACGATGATTGTTCAGGAGGCACAACCGATATGTATGAAGGGACCCTCCGCCAATTTTTGTCCGCTGTTCTTTTGAGGCCTGTGCCACAAGATTTATACATTCTCTGCTGTGGCTTTGAATATGGGGGCTGGGTACCAATCCTGAATCACCAACACATAAACTCTCAATCCAGGCTGTGACAACACATGCGAGCACATCATTTCTGCTATCCAATCTTCAATTCAATCTTCAGTCCAGAACGTTCTAGCGCGCGCTAGCACATCTTCGCATCATTTGAGATGGGACAGCGGCACAGAGCACCTTTTCTTTCCGTCACGCTTACGAAAGGTACAAAACCTGTGAACAATCAGGGTGAACAACATTGCAACTGCGCGCCCTGGCCACCTGCCTGGTCCCCTGCTATCTGCCAGACGTAGGCACAGCACCTATCTCCCCCACGGGGGCTGACGCTGAATAGAAAGTGGGATGAAATCACTATAGCACATAATGTACCCCCATACAACTCGCTGAAACCTAGAACCCCCACCACCAACCTCCACATACCCCTGATTGCTGAGCCAAGAAGCCCGGCCCATAGCCATGAAGCAGGCCCGCACCTGGAGAGAACAAATATGGCAAGGTAGAAAGGCAAAACCGGGCAAAACACGGCAACACTCTCACTGGCCTTCAAGTAGGACAAAGCAAAAGGGAACATGTCGGCACCTGGGAGTCGGCTGGTGACTGGTAAGTCATCAAAAAAAGAGTACCTGCTTCAGGAAACCCACAAACGAGTTGTTTTCTGTTTCTGGAGATCAAAAGAACTCAAAGGCATTGAATGAACTCATGTTTGAGGCTCGTCTGCAAAGTGTGTCACACACAAACAAAAATGAATAGTTGTATGCCAAAAAAACAACCAGCGCGCAGCGTTGTGAGGGGGAGTTGATGATGGGTGTTTGGCTTGGTTTGGCTTGTGGTTGACCTGGAATAGCTTGTTTGTTGGTGACTAAAAAGTTGTGTGTTGTTCGATGCCAAAGAAGTTGTGTGTTTGGCGCTTAACAAGTTTGTTTTGAAGCCTAGGCAAGCTGTACGTAGGCGCAACATTTGTTCATCACGTTTTACCGAAGGATCTTGCTGGGTAAGCACCCCATTCGCTAGTTGTTGGTTTTCTGAAACTCTGCAACGACGCGAGAGACCCCATGCATCCGTGGCGCTAGCTCCAAATAAGCGAACACCGGTTGGCGCCATGACCAAAGCAGCAATCCTCAGTCATTTGTATTGAATCTTTGACGTCTTGTCCAAAAGGTGTACTGCAATAAATTGGATACTGATGGATGCACGCCGCAACAGCCCACCAGCCCACCAAGCCATGATTGACCAAAGCCACCCTGCCAGCAGCCCTGCCACAGTCATGTAGACAAAACCAACAGCACCTGAGCGTCATACACCCTGAGCTTACACCCTGCGCTTTCAGTGTGTCGTGAGGATATGTGTTGCATCAGAATTTGGATGAACACACAAGGCTAGGGGTGGCACGGATCGACGCTTTTGACATGTCATCCTCAGGAACATAAACCTCTCAACTTGATGTCTGCGCTTGCAGTGGTCTGATTCATGCAAGAGGCTGGTGGGTTGCCCAGCAAAGCCAGCTGTGCACCATTGATTGCCTGATAAAAGAACTGGAAGCTGGTACTGCCAGCATCCAAGAGAGACCAAAAAAGGAGTGGAACAGGTGCAACACTACCCAGGGTACAAGCAACTGTCACTCCCTCAAGAGTCTTTTGCCGCTCGGAGCATTTGTTTTTCCTGATGCACCCACAGCATCTCAAAGCCATCGAGAGGCTTAGGTCCACGCTCGGATTGTTTGCGTCCACATTTCGTATGCCGAGGACGCAGGTCCAATGGACGCAAGCTGCACTGAGGAGACATGGCCCACAAAGGCCTTGTCCACTGCCGTCCTAGGATCTACTTGCACTGCCAGGCGCTCTGGACAAGGCAAACAACACAATAAGCCGGTGGGTTCCCGTGACTGAAAAAAGCATTCTATTTCAACCTGAACCAAAGGAAAGCACTTGGCTTCACAAGAGCGTTGCCGCTCAGCTGCGCCAGACATCCCACAACCACAAGAAGGTATCCAGGGATGATGAACAGGACGATGCGTCGAGCAAGAGAGGCCTCTGGCCATCAACGTGTGCCGACTAATTCAGTAGGACAGTGCATTGTATGTTTTAGGCGTGAACGTAGGACTGGCCTTGGACTGCAGCTTGCCAGCTTCCTCAGACGAGCGAACATGATATGTTGCACACAAAATACTAGCTTCAGTCTCTCCTCGGATCAACCTTGCTCTTCATCCAAGTCTCCATCAGCTCAGCCAACCGGGACATGCACGCATAAATTCAGCCCATCAGCACAATATATTGCAGTAAGCTAAAGCTACAACATGCACGTGCGCTCTTGTTTGCCTATGCAAACAGGACAAATTAGTTGGCAAAGCCATCCTGCACATCCATGCTGCAACAGGGTATAATGTTGCAATACAACATCATTAGCATCTCTTCATCTTGAGTGGTGACGCTTCACGGCATGCACCAGGAAACTTGTCGGTCTTTTCAAACACATTGCAATCGCAGCACACACGCCAGAAAAGGCGTGGTTGAAGTCATGTCTTAGCAGCGCAAAACTACAACACATGTTGAAACTGGCGGGAATGCATGAGAGCATCAACTCCTGGCTGTGCCACAAGATGGGCACGAGGAGTGTTTGCCAAACACCTGCAGTACAATGGAGTGATTCCAGCAACACTCCGTGCAACTTATATAAAATGCCAACCAGGTGAAAGGTGACCGATCAATGCCGCCTACGTCCTGAAACCAATCGTGACTCGCAAACAGCGCTCTAGTTTGCTTGCCCAAGCGCCATCTTTGTGTTGTTGATGCACTCCGTGTTCGGACCTGTGAAACGGCCAGCTCAAGAATCGTCTGTTTTGGATGTGAGTTGAATGGATAAGGCACCAGCACTGCCAATCGTTGCCGTTCCCGCCGAAATCGCTCTGCATGAAAGGAATCTGCATCTGCTGCGTCTGGGCAGCAGGCAAAAAAGTAAACGTCCAGGCAAATTGAACTCTGAGTTCAGAGTTTGGATTTTCCCTCGAGTAAGAAGCCAAGTGTGTGAAAACCTGCCCTGTCCTTCCCAGAAAAATGCCTGACAACATGGTGCCCGCGGAAGAAGAGACTGCATGTGGACGGGACATGCAAGCGTAAGGCAAAGCACGGTGGAGCTGTGCATGGGTTGTTCCTGCAAAGCCCTCCTTGTTTGAAAGTATTTGCATGTCTGCTTCCGAGAAACATGCATCTGAAAAGACGTGTTTGCAAGTAAAGTTTGATGGTGCTGGCAACAGCTGTAAAGCCCTTCACCTCTAAATTGGCTCAATGCTTGCAATGCAATCTCCAAGCTCAAGTCGTCACTGGATCGAGCCTCCATGCGTGGCCTGAAAGAAGGAGCTGGTCGGATGAGGTCCTGTACCACAATGAAAACTGGGCTTGGCACTTGGGAGGTCTTTTGTGGTGCGGACCACATTAAAGCAGACAGCAGTAGCTGCCATGCTCAAGTATGACTATACTCGAAAAGTGTTTTCCTGTTGCAAGCAAAGCCCACCAGCCTGCTTAAGGGCAAAGGCTTGCAAAGGCGTGTCCACCTGGCCAATTCATGTACACCAAACCAGGCCTGTTTGCATTCGAAGGATGCAAATGAAAGGAAATGCCAGCCATGGCCTTCGCGCTGCCGCATTGTGGACAAGATGCCTTCCAACGCGTAGCCGTCTTGCGCATTCGCTGGTAAATAAGGCCGGCAAGCACAAGCTCATGTAAGGTGTCAAGTTGTGAAACGCGCAGGTTTGATGTTTTTCCAAAGGCAAGACGTGCTGAAGCAAGAAAATATGTTTCTTGCTGATATGGCCAAGATTGGAACATAGAAGGACACCTTCAGTAACTTGACCTTTCGTGTTGAGCTCCAACATTCCCCACGACCTTGCTGTCCAATCACAAATTGTGTGCTTGCATGCTAAATCCCAACAACATAGCTTTACATACAGCCAGCACATGCAACCAAACCAAACGGAGGACGGCTGACCCAACCACCACCAGAAGTGCCGGCACCTTCGACCCAAAGACCATCCGCGTGTGGTTCACACAGCCAGTGTTTGGACACCTGCAAGGCACAATTGCGCAACCAGCTGTGCAAAAAACCATCAACAAGATTGCATGGTTTGTTGTGCTAGACAGGTCGTTTGCACTGAAAACGCACCCAAAAAGTAGTGAAACTTGCCAGATTTGGGTGAGGCGCTGCCAATCTGGCAACCTTTCCATGTTTGCCCAGGCCAGTGTCCGCGCTACACCCCACTAACTACTTGAGCCACAAATACGTTCGTCAACTAAGCATTTCAATGGTCAATGCTATTAAAAAAGCTCGACCAAAACCGAAAGCAGCTGGGTGTCCAACGACCACGTTTTGATTGGGCGCATCTTCTTGCCGCATCCACCCAAAAGAAAAACGGATCTGCATCTGAATTTGCGCAATGGAGCAACAAATCAGCTGGAACGTGACAGGAAAGGAATTGTTGCAAACGACGCTGGCTGTTACATGATATTATTTGTTGCCTTCGACACATATTCGTGGCAATGACACGGAGGGTTGCCGGCGAGTGCTTTCAGCGCTGTTCGACTCTTACCCTGCTCGTGCAACTTTTGTTACGTGGCCCACGTCTCTCCGTCGCATGGACCAGCTTTGAGGCGCTATCTCGCTTCTCCGTTGGCGGCTACATTGTGAGCCAAGAAGCAAGAAAGCAAGCAACAAAATAATAAACAAACAACAAAACATAGTAAGAAGCAACAAAACGAGATAATCAGCGGAAGTTTGGCAAGATCTTCCGCACTGCTGGCGTGAAGTGAAGGAAAGCTGAAAGTAGATGAGAAAGGAAGGAGAATACAAAAGAAAACAAGAGAAGAAATGGTTGTCGTGACAAAAAGACGCGAGTGAAAAGCGAAGAGAATCATAACAAAAGAGGCAAAAAGATGTGACAGGTGTTCACCTTGTGACCGGTGCAGTACTTTGGAGCATAAAGCAATCAAAGTTTTAAAAGTCGCTATGCTGGGGGTCCAAAAAACACCAAGGTACCGAAAAGACATTACCCATGCAAGCGAGCTCTGGAAAGTGCACTGCTGCGCTCAGGACATGGCAGCCGATCCAGCTTCGCGCACTCGCACTTTCGGAATGTGCACTCTTCGGTTTTTGATCAGAGGGGGCAAGGTTCCACCTCGGCGGCTGCCAGAGCCTTGCGAGGAGAATCACATTGCCAACACCTTCTGGGACCATCACAATGCTTTGTTTAGTTAAACAGTCGAATTCTTTTGTCCGCTCCAGTTCTAAGATGGTTGTTCGCTGCAGGGAACGTTTTGGAGGACATTCCAAGTCCGGCAGTCCTCGCCATATTCCACTTTCCACCAAAGCTTCTGCTCAGCTAAACATCAAAACAAGGATGGTGTTTTTGGTCACCCTGCGTGTCTTTTCTGAGAACGTTTTTTGGGCGTGTTTTGACTGCGGATTTCAAGGACGCCTACACAGGATAGACAGCCGTTCGCCTTTTGTCAAATCAAGGCCGCGAGTACCTTTTCGCGCCTTGCCTTCTGCAGGCGCTTAACCAGAAGCTTGAAAGCAAGCTGTTCTCAGAAAGTATTGACCCTGAAACTAGGAATTCTACAGCTTCTCTCAGGGATAAGTAGGAAAGTCTCGTTCTGTGCTTGCTAGTCTGACAGCTGGCCATGTCCAAGTCTTTTGGGGCGCCTCCTCAATGGAGTTGTTCTAAACCCCAACTGTTCTCTTGGCAGATTGATTTTAGTGCCCAACACTGTTTTGGAGTTTCTGCACTGCGAGCAGTTGTAACGCCCGTGAGGTCGGGATCTGGGCAAACAGCGCGGTGCGTGGTGCAGATTCCTTCATATCATAAATTCTCCTCACCTGCATTGATTGCACGCACAAAACCGTAAACGCTCAAGTTAAGGCATGTTGCACTGCTCCTAGCTTGAACCCAAACATGAAACCCCAAAAGAACAAAGCACGTCCGAAGCGGCCGCAGTTCTTTTTACCGGGATTGCTGAAAGTAGCACTGTTTCCAGGGCACTGGTGCGCCTGGAACAGGAGGCGCATTGACCCCCCGAAATGTGAAAAGGCAAGACAATGCGTGTCCTTGCGTGCACATGCAGTGCTGGTGGGGCGCGGCATGCGTGCCCACGCCCCAAGGTCCGGAGACCGAAGAGTCCGGAGACTCAAGGTCCGGAGACCAAAGTGGGTCCGGAGACCTGGTCCGGAGACCAAAAGGCCCGGAGGCCACCAATGAAAGTGCAGAGTGTCTGCCACCTATACTTGCAGAGCCTGGTATAGGGCAGTGCAGGGTGGGTGGGTGGGTTTCAAATGAAACCGCAGGTTTGGGTCAAGGCTAGGAGCAAAATGGCCAACGCGTAGTTCGATTCACAACATGCCCTAAACACAAGGGAAAAGAAACCCTAAGCGTTAAGGCATGTTGCACTGCTCCTAGCTTGAACCCAAACATGAAACCCCAAAAGAACAAAGCTCGTCCGACGCGGCCGCAGTTCTTTTTACCGGGATTGCTGAAAGTAGCACTGTTTCCAGGGCACTGGTGCGCCTGGAACAGGAGGCGCATTGACCCCCCCTTCAGTGTTTCAGGCAACCCCGGTATAAGCCGCAGGCCTCATCACCCGCCCTTCAGAGTGGGGTTGTACCTGGCAGGGCAACTGCTAGCGGGGGCCATGCACGCTTTGGCTGTGAGCAGCCTGCGACGCAGGATCTGCACTTTTTCCGGTCAGAGCGGCTTTATATAAGCGGCTGGCTGACTTCGCCAGTTGTTCTGGCTGACAGGGCGACGGCGGCCATTTGGTCGCAAGGCATGTCAGGATGCAAATAAGGCCGGCTAAGCAGTGACGGATGCTGCTGCCAAATGCTCCGGGCGCCAGGGCGCATGCATCGGACACAGCTGAATGCCTCGGCCTGACATCGCCAGGCCAGGGCTGAAGCGTATGCGACTTTCTGGGCGATGGCTGAATCTGGCCAACCGACCTCTGCTGAGGTCGTCTGCCCAGTCGTTGCACCTTCCTGGGACGTGCGTCGGCTGCAGCAGCACATTATGAGCGTGAGCCCAGAAGGCTGTTAATTGCACGAAGAGTTGCAACGGCCAGGAGGTCGTGAACAACTTGTTAAGGCTGGCTTCCGTCGCGGAGTTGTCCGTGCCTGAAGGCATGCTGAACGAGTAGTGCCCACCACCAATGTGGCTGTGGGTTGCTTGCAGCAGCGCCAACTGTGCCAGCGTCTCAAA